ATGAACCCTTTCTTCATAATATCCGGCCACTTGAATCTGCACGTATCTGTTTTTTGATAAAACCTAATTCTTATAAATGATGAATAATAGTATAGATTATAGAAGTGGTGCCGTTGCTAGGCAACCCTGCTGTAAACTGTAAGTACTTTTATTATTTATCAATCACAAAAATTAGATTAAATAAAAAAAGCAGATACTGCAGATTCAAGCTGTCTAATCTCATTCTATAACCTCACATATCTAGCGCATGCGCAGTTTCTGCTACTCGCTTCAATGAATGCGTCAAGTTTTGGGGTAGTTTTTTTTTCTAATTTTGCCGGCTGTCCTGGAATCTAGTCTATATGGCTTTTCAACATAAAAGCGCTGTACCGGTTCACGTTGGCTGAACGCTCCCAAAGTCATGTCTTCTGACCTCTACATGATTTGATTTAGTTGTGTCACTTTGGTAACATAATCTTTATGACATAAAAGTCAAGTTGATAATCTGATCGTGGTCGGTCTATCCAAAATCTCAGCAGGTAGATAAGCCTGGACCACCCACAAAGAAATGGTCTTATAATAATGACTTCTTTAATAGTTCCTCGTTTTTTTTTTGTGCGTGCCTATTAGTATTCTTCAGCTGGTTTCCTAGAGGAGTCTAGAAGCCCAGTAGCGTTTATCAAATTATTCTCAAATAGATTCGATAGAGGCTAATTCAAACTTTCATATACGGTTTCGGATTTTATAGATGTAAAGAGAAGACGTCCCCCCTGCAACGAAGACTATAGTAAGTGAAAATCCTTGCTTTTGACGTTCTATAGGGTATCGATAGACCTTATCGGGTTATCTTTGGTGGAACAATATGGTATCAAAGTCATGTAACTATAGGCAACCAGCAAATCTTTTACGTCATATAGTAAGCATAATAGTGGCGGTTGCTCCCGCGAAAACTACATCAAATTGAGTTGCTTCAGTCTTCGATGCAAAAAACATGGAAAGCCTAACTTACTGTTAAACCTACTGTCTGATTTACTATGATTTTCGCGGCATAGTTTGAGGTTACGGTAATTAATAGAGGAAACGTTTCAAGTATTAGCTGTATGAAAAGAGCAGTTTTCAAAGCGAACTAAAACGAATTCATGAACCAAAATAAATCTTACAGATGCAAAGAAGCTAAGTGCTGTTGCTAAGTTGTTGAATTCAGGCAAGTTTGTTTCATAAATAGTGCTGAATTCTTTTAACACAACAAAAAGGTTCAAACATAGCAGCCTCTTCTGCACGTTATGCATTGGGATCTGTCTGTCTCTCATGCAGGTGAAATTAAAAAGTTTAACACAGAATTCTACTACTACAGTCCTCGGTTTTGCAAAGATGACACTCTCTTGTTTGCTTTTCATTCTTCTCTCCAAGTCTGGACCTGATACAGACCTATATCGTACTGATGAGGGCTAAAGATCCCTGTCTGCGGTTGGCCGAGGATTAATTAGTTTTAAATAAAAGGTAAAATCGGAAAATTAGAACAAAGACGATTGTGGAGAAAAGTTGAAAATGTATAAGATAAGTGCCTCGTAAAATGAAATATAAATGTGACTATGCTGATGATTTCAGAAGCAAACAGTCTTTTTAGCATTCCTGAGGCTTACCTGCTTTTTATTTTTCTCTAAAAGCCAAGGAAGATAAAAAAATACAAAGAGGACATGATATTAACAGTTCTGAAAATACAGAAGATGGGAACAATGATAGTGGAGAACAGGAAGATGAATATAATTTGACTGACTCAGATTGGCATTCAAGAGGTTTTTTCTACCATTTGTTTAAAAAATGCTGTAATACTTCAATGAATATCCTACTAAGTCTGGAGCAAGTGTACTTTTTTCTTTAATTGATCCAACGAAAACTGTAGTAAGTCAGCAATAATCATTAAAAAAATTGTCATTTTCACTAGTTTTGTATAGTAATACCATTTATAACCTTCTAAGTACAAGAATTACTGCAATGTGCCACATATTTTTGATCAGATCGTCATTTTTCTGACAACGAAATCTATCAGAAAATCTTCTAATGCCTATATCTCAGTTAAACCAAAACTGAGTTACAATAGTCTTCCTTGCAGGGGTCGATATGGCCAAGACGCCACATTTCAAAAAAGTTTTTTCTGTTATTTGATGTGTAAAAAAATTGTCAATAGAAATGAAAATATGATTGCTATTGAGCATCCAATATCTTGAAAATCGGAAAATAGAATCCTATGGTATGTTATATCACATTGTTTTGTTTGAAAAGACCAATCCAAATCTACAATGAAATCACCAAAAATGTACACGTCACCATGTAATTATGAATCGCCTCGTAGAATAAAAAAATATATTTTAGAACTGGAGAGAATACTTTTGGCTACAATTTTTCTATTCAATTTTCTTATATACAATGCGTGATAATGAATGAACTCACACAAAAGACTCACCCTGTATAATAAACGAGTTTGCCTTTTAGTATGATGGAAAATATAGCGTTCTTTAGAAGATTGACCTTATAAAAGTTTTTATCAGCATCGCCCATTTCGACGTATAATCAAATCTACTAAAATATTAAAGAGTCTCATGAAAAATACAGCCGACGCGGGGCATTACTGTTAAAACTTTACTTTTCATATCATCCTCATAAAAATTGCATGACTTTCCAGAAACTTTCAAGTCTACTAAAATATGCATTCGCGCTTTATGACAAGGTTATATACACAGTATTGTTCTTTATCTTCCCAGGACATTATTAGATAGTGATAGTCTCAAAGATTCAAGTCGTTTCCAGGTTAAGGTGAAAAAAGCTGCGTGATATTATCAGAACACTATTTATTACTTCATTCGCCTCTGGTGACGAAGCATTGTAACATTTCGAAAATGAGATATGTTTTAAGGTAAAACCTTGTCACTTATTTGCGTCGGCTGTATGTCCGTCTGTTCGCTAATTTAGAACCGCATATAGCTTGAGAAGTACCACTCGGATTTCGTTGTTCCGATATTTGTCTGTCGGTCTATCTGTGTGTCGGTCTATCTGTCCACTAATTCTTGGCCCGTCTATAATTGTGCCGCTCGAATTCTTATGATTATGTTCACAGAAAATAAAAAATCAATTCCGGTTCTGGATTTTTGTACGATCTGCCTAGTTCGACATTACTCCTGGGTAACTTTATAAACTTGCAAAATTCAACAAAATCGATTTAATAGTGCCTAAGATATGTGATATTAAATATTTGTTTTAGTACCTGCCTTTTCAGTATGTCCATTCTGTACGAAGCATCCTGCGTATCATTGTCAACATCAGTAAAAAGCAATTGATATATATGTGGTTTTATTTGGATACAAAATCATGGAGTTCTACGCTGAGGTGCTTGCTCCCTCTTGGCCCACGAGGTACAATAATTCGGATCGATTTACAAACTGTGCCGAGAAATGGAATTAGACAAATTGTCTTAAACTAGGTCATGTTTAATAACCACTCTAAACACTCTGCATACCAATTTATCTTTGCGCATGAAGTGGATTCTAGTTCTCTCCGTACTTCTGCGAACCAAAGTTGGGCCGGAGTATACTATGATTAAATGTGGATTTTCTACGTGGCATAACAAGCAGACATATACATACATATACTCTTGTTGTCTTAACTCTGAATTAGTTACAGCGCGGATACTGATAATACCAGTAGGCTTTATGCGGCTAACGAAAATAAGGAAATTACCCAAAGAGCGACTTTTCTGTCTATTAACACATACGCGACAATACTTAAAATTGTTTTAGGAATCGGAATATGACAGTTTCGAAACCTCATGTTAATGTTAACGAAAAACTGATATGAGGTTTGAGATCTACGTACCCAATTTACGCAAGAATCAAGTTCTTGTCTAAATATTAGTAAGACCTCAAGCCTGTATATCGTCGCCAATAACACGAAGTGGCATTTCTCAGAAAATACGAAAATTCAGTTAAGTCGATTTTATTACTTAAAAAATGATGCTATTCAATATCACGAAGTGACATAAGTCAGTTTCTAATACATTCAGAGTTATAGAAAAATAATATTAGACTTATCTCATTTTAATAAGAAATTAAATTTCACGAGGGAGCTTAACACAAGTTACGCAAATTTGTGAAATTATAAAATATACATATCAATTTACAGTGTATGGCTTATCTTAGTAAGATAGCGGACACAGTTAAAGAAAATACAAAAAAATAAAGCAAATATCACCTTACAACCGAAGGCAAGCAGTATTTAGTATATCAAACTCTATTTGTCCACAAGTTAGGATCTCGTTAGTGGACAATGAGAATCTGGAAAAATTAAATTCAACTGGAATCGTTGAAGGTGAAAAAAGAGGTGGCAGATCTTAGGAGAGACAATTCACTTTGAGATGAAATTCACAAACACATCCTGAGGTTCCCGAAAATTGAGTCCCACTATTGCCGACCAAGTTCAACCAAGAAATATCTTCATCCAGAATTGACTGTTTCTAAGATATATGCTATGTTTATAGGAGAACTAAATCACACTGACGACAAACCTTCGATTGACCCATACCGTAGAGTGTTTAGGTCATTAAAACTCTACAATGAAATCACCAAAAATGTACACGTCACCACGTAATTATGAATCGCCTCGTAGAAATAAAAAATATATTTTAGAACTGGAGAGAATACTTTTGGCTACAATTTTTCTATTCAATTTTCTTATATACAATGCGTAATAATGAATGAACTCAGACAAAAGACTCACCCTGTATAGCGTCATCTGATCTTAGCTTTAATTTTTGGCTATAGATATTCGTAGCTTACCTTTTTCTCAGAGACTCTTACTTGTGTCCTTTATGAACTGATGTCAGCGTAGGAAGTGCAGGTCAACCTACTTAGCACCATTCTTTGTATTTTTTTCTTGTTTCAGTATTAGATTAAAGTGCCTTGCATGATCTTTACGAAGTCGAGGCAGCATTGCACGACAAAAAGTACAATTTTCTGTTTTCGTTTTAGTGTTAGATTGAAGTGCCGTCTATGTCGGCGGGCGCGGATTACGAGGACCCCCCGTTCGGAGTCCCTGAGGGGATATGGGCGGAATGCGACTGCCCGGGTCCCCCGCCGCCCGAATTCATGCTGCCGCCCCCACCGAGGCCCCCCGTCTTGCAACCGCCGGACCCCGCGTACTGCACCGAGGACCCGCTGCCCATAGAGACCTGCGACGCTTTACCGGTAAGTTAGACAAAACCTTAGGGAAGTCACCTAGCACGAGGTACCCTCAGCCCACACATATGCTGAAAACCTAACCCTACTAGGCGTTTTTTCTAGCTACTAGGTAGTCCTAAGATGATTAGTTATGACTAGTTACCTGATAGGTGATCCACATGAACACACGTCAAATGCACTTACTTGATTTTCATATATTTTGTCTATTTTAAGAATATTTTCTCAAAGCACAGAACATGATTCATCTGCTGTATTTTAATATGCCAAGTCCTGGGCCTATTTCAGGTATGCTGTTCCATAATGAAACGGAAAAAAGCAAAAACATTTGACTGAGGCGGAATGGGCCCCCTCGGAGCCTGCCACCCGGAGCCATGGTACTCCTGACGCTAGGGCAAATACAGCCCTACATATTTCCATTCAGCGTACTAAATGACGCTGTTATGTCCAGCTTAATTCATTTGTACCCACAAGGGACTAAAATTGAAATTTTCCACAGTTCGTATAGCAATATTTTTGTTTCAATATTTGACTATAACTATTAACCCTGGCAGTTACAGCCCAGCCATCATGAACTGCAGCATACATACTCTATATCTTGGCAATATTGTTCACAATGTGTAGATAAATACGGATTCCAGAATTTGTCATAAGGCAGGCTGCAAAATCGGGTAAGAATATCTAACAAAATTGTGTGTCGCGTATGGCGATAAAACATTAAGTAGGGTTACGATCATCCGATAAGCAATATATGAATGTAGGTATATATCACAAGTGCAAACATGTACAGTTATGCTACAAATATTGCCGCACGTAGCTATTACAGCTCCAGTAAAAATATTGCTCGCTTAGATGCGCAGTTATACAGGGTGTCACATTTTAATCTCGCCACCTAATTATTTCAAAAACAACGCATCCTAGAAACGAAACTTGTAATGTTTTCAAGCGAACATTTTCAAATAGAAGCCCCCCTTTTTTACATCGGAATTAAAAAGAGAAGGAAATTTCACGTCAGAATATGGCCTTGACTATTTCCTTCAAGACCATTTCAAGGTCTAATGAACAGCATAATTTGCACTTAATCAGATAGATGCCAGCTTGACTTTATATCTGTGAATGCAGGACGGTTCTCCCTCTCCGTGACCCTATAACTCACTACGGTCGCCTTGCCTTATCCGCCATCTCATCTGACGTTTCCATTGAGCGTTATAATCCTATCCTGTGATGGTATCTCATCTGGAGTGAGTCCCGATTATTCGGTCAGGGAGACTATGATCGTCATAGATGAGGCAGGTATTAACGAAGATATATTACTCATTGACTATCTATAAGAGTCGTTAAAACTTCATTGTATGCCAAATATTATTGTGGTTTAAAGCGATATGAGACTGCCACTATCCACCAAACCTGAGACCGAAACGCGAGATTAGTGGCACAGCACCATCGTATTCAACCTGAAGATTGCCAAACATCTTCCGACGTCCAGAAAGAGATCTGAAATATCTATAAGACATTAGTAGAACTAAACACTATAACTCTTCTCCATTGAAAAAGGTCAAAAAGAGAGTGAAGGTCCTAGCATCATATATGAGAGAGTAGCAGAACTAACATTGTAACTCTTCCCAAAGTAGGTCCTAAAATTAATTTTTGTGTTCTGCTAATATCTCATAGATGACGCTAGTATCTCTCAGATCCCTTTTTGGGCAGAATACACTATATGGTTGTTTACCTTCAATGCCTTTAGCTCATGAAACAATTAAAATATACTTATCAACATAAAAAAAAAGAACGCCCAGTGTTAATGAATTCATTACATCATTTTTTTGTATACATGACTGTTAGATTTAAGCAGGTACTTGATCAAAATTTCAGAAACATCCAACCGTTGAAGAAAAATAATTTGTCGGCAACTCAGAAACACGTCTGGGAATTATCATAGTCAGATGATCAATTTACTCTTTAGGTATCTCATCCTAGGCTACATGTACCTTCTGCTGGAGTCTCTTATAGATGGTGTAAACGGAATAATATTCTTCCTATAATGTTCCAGACGTGTTCAATGGGTGATAGATCGGGAGACATTTAGTTCACTTACCTCTTGTATGTAACGTACAGAGGTTATGTTGTCTCTGATGGCCACCAAAGGTGACCTGCTTCTATAAGCAACCAACAGTGTGATGTACATGCGTTTCCATAGAAAGTTGTCTTTCACGTCGTTGCCTTTTTACTCTTGGACGGCCACCCTACAGAATCGGGAAGGCTACGGTATATATTAGAGGTCTCAGCTCAGCCATTCTTTGCATCAAGCCAGTCGGTCACTTCGTTGCCCAGAAGTTAGAGGTATGACAAACTAAGGGCAGTAGGAAGTAAGTCCAAAACTATACGTCCGGCCATAAACAATTCTCATTGTAAGTAGTAGGCGTCCCCATGCTCTTCAAACCATTGGTCCGAATTGACCTTGTGGACGAGAAGCTTAAGGCAGGGATCTTGATGTGAGGCCGTTCCAGTGACACGCCATGTGCTTCAAACTCTTCGGGTACGGCTTTCCTAATTCCATGCTTGATAACAAACCACCACCGTATTCTACGCTTCTCTAAAGGACCAACCAGCCTCAGACAAGCACACTATTCGCCTCCTTACAAGGTACTGAACATTTTCTCGTTCTCTCACTGTAGGCAATGAACAGATGATTAAAGCTGTTCTTCACGACGTATTTATTGTACAATGATCAAATGTCAATTGTAGCTACAAATCACAACTATCGCTTACTTTTTTTTGTAAAAACGGACGACATCACAAAAACCACTTTATCGAAAAGGTTTTTTGTCCTAACCTAGACAATCATATAAATCTTTGTAACACATTCATTATTACTAGGTCTACTGTAGTTATAGATTAATAGCACTTTCAGTGCAGAGAATGTCCCTCTGGTAAGTGTTTTAAGCAATGTGCGAAGGTGCCCCTTCAAAGAAAACAGGTACGAATACAACTCTCAAAAGGGCAATGGTTGGCGAAATAGGCTTCACTGTTCAATTAAAATTTTCAGATATTCACTGGTGATTTTGCCTTTCGATAATTGATTAGTGGCCATCAAAACTCATTTAAACTCCTTTAAACTTTATTTTACGTTCGAGATCAACGAAATGCTGACCCTAAAAAAGCATCATCCCAATTCGTTTTTCATCAACTTCGTCGGTATTTCGACGTGAAATTCTTCCTATAGCCTCGTTCAGCTTCTCGGTACAGATACCTCAATTTGTAATTCGATGAGACCGAGTTTAGTGGTCGAACGCTCTCTCTCCAACAAATCCGATGACGGCCTATTGAACCAGAGCCAAAACAGGGCGATACAACTTCAATATTCTGCTCTAGAACATTAACACATGTAATCCAATCGCCACTTAGTGGACTCTTTGATAGTTATATTTGCATTACTTCCTAGACCAAGCTTTTACACAAACAGCTAGATGGGCGTCAGTCCTGTCCGTCTGATGGCTTCTGGTTCCTTCTGCCACGGTTTTGTCCTTACGAGGATTCATCAGTACAACACAGGTCTAGGCCAAACGTTTTAGGTTGATACTTTATCTAACACAAGAAAACGTGGACATATTTAATAGCCCGTTGTCTGTGAGGATAAGCCTTTAGTCTCCTATAGCCGTAGATATCACGGCTTTGACCTTATTAGGATTCATCAGTACGATGCCAGTCTAGGTTATACATTGTATATCTCTGCTATGATTTTTAGTGTAACAGCAACATCTGGCAACCTAACAAGCTGAAGTAATTGCTCTATGTGTCTTCAATGTCCCCTTATTAACAAACCGTCATAGCACGCGCCGTTTCGTCCTTATTCAGGATTCATCAGTACGACGCAATATAAGAGCCATTCATTTCGGTTGTTCCAGACTTGATTTGGCATGAACACATCTCGTCAATCGCAGCAGTTGGCGGTAAAAGGCTAGGTTATTATATAAGAAGTGCTTTTCTAGCCTTGAAAATGGCTGTCCGACTGCAGCATCGAGCATGGATAATGTAGTCGGAGCGGCAGCACCCAAAACTTGTGAAGAGGACTCTAGACTGAGCATTGTACAGAGTGAGGAGGTTATGTGGAGAAAAGTACTTCTTATCCTTTAACAAATTGTTCGCAACAGCTGCCGCTATTGTCGTGTTTGTGCCAGATCAAGTCCTCGGTGATCTGGAGGAAATGAACTGCTCTTTGGTAGAACCTGACCATCCATCGAAACCGGATGAACTCTAGGGTGCTTCTTGTTAGTCAAGGTACAGTACTGTGTTTTGAAAGCATTGAACTGTACCGGATTCTTCGCCTCCACCGAGTGATAACCTCCAGGTTTTGTCAAAGAGAAAATCGCTGCAAGTCTTCTTTTCTCCAACTCATGGACAGAAATCAGCTTGCCACTTTGAATTCCTGCATGCATTCCATCAGCATAGCTGTGAATAGGATTGATCGTATAGGATAGGTCGTTGATATGTAAGATCTTTCAAAGAAGGTTTGTTTTGCTCGAGAAAATCGTTTTCGGTGCGACCCTGTACAATCTAGTCGAGCAGTGGCTTTTCCGATCGACTCCCGTTTCGTATTTCCACTCTTCAAGCAACTCCGTTTATTAGTCGGAGTTCCGCTTTGAGCCTTCAGGACTTCAGGCTTCGGGCCGCGTTACTGCATAGCGAGGTCCTGTTCTCTCTATATCGGACATTTTCGGAAGAGTATAAAATCGCCCAAGGGTTTACATCTACCATTATAGAGTAAAATATTGAGTTTAGCAGGAAACTGATATCATGCACTCACCTTCATGCATTACTTGGAGGATTACATTGTTGTATTCTTCAAGTTAAGGACTTTATTCTGAATATATCGTCGGTAAAATCAACCTTCCAAGGAAAGATCATTCCTTTACATATCTCTACTACTATTCTAAGATTTGGTATTCTCAAAATTTTGCAACGATGGAAACAGAAATTTTATCAATTGCGGCAACAGTCCGAAAGCTGGCAACTCTGGC